ACTACTACTATAGGATTTGTATTGGCAATTCGATTTTTGTGTGTGCTGATGTCGTATGACAATTTGAGCGGTACCAAGTTCTCTATATTATAGATGACTGGTTGACTGATTGTTACACAAAATGAATCAGTTTCTACAAACAACTCCTTTTTTTCTTGTCTCATATGAATCTAATTAACGATTACAGAGTAACTTCAAATTGTAATTGACAGTTAGTAATTATCATCTCCCAGGATTGATAAAATATTTATAACGTATGAAGTGTAACAAACTCCGTCTGGATCCATTTCTAAAGTGACTGCCTGCCGGTCTCAGGACCAGATAAAGAGGAGAAAAATTAGATATAGAGAGTTAGTGAACCCGATCCCTTAGAAAAGTAACTCGCTCAAAAATACGCTAAACAGCAGTCTATGCTCTATTAGGGGCAACAGGCGAAAGTAAGTAAGTAAGTAATCAAATGGAACAGATAATTGCTTAATCAATCGAGTTTAATTTAAACTTACCACCTTTAAAGGTGAGAGACAAAACTAAATTCGGAATTTTCTTCAATACTATCACGATTAAACAATCACTTTTATCCGTGAATACACAATGTTTTGTTACATAACATCAAAAGTATTATTTTTATCAATTAGAAAAACGATTATGTAATTCATTAATTTATCAAGTATAACACCAATTGATGTGATCGTCTTTGAGTCACACTACTTTTTTTCTAGTATGATGAAAGATTGTGAATACTGCCCGGCTGTTTAAATCAAGGCATGTAAAACAGGTTTCCTACCACTGAAATACATTTATTTTTCAAGAATAAATGAGGTCGGTCAGTCAGTCAGTCAGTCAACAACAACAACATAGAACTTTGTACGTACGTACATTAGTCCAAGTTGCCATACTGTGGTGCGCGCTACTTATAAGCAGTATATGACGCGAGTGTCAGTCAACGTAATGTTTGGCAGCAGAAGATGGGGGAAGATCAAGAAAGAAAGAGTTAGAAGAACACAATGGAATTTGTATGAAACACATGAATAGTGACAATGGATGTTGATGTTTTGCAACAGGAACAGTCCAGTTCGATATGATGAACTGATATTTTGCAAATTAACACGATATACGATATGGTTTTCCGATTTTACTGAGTAACTCTGTAATTTTCGTTAAATACAATTCGGTTGCTCCACCTGTGTTCTCCTTCACTACAATACCAAATTAGCAAACAGAGATGCAATTGTCACTTCAAATCCCATAGTAGTAGTAAAGGTACTAAAGGTATTAGCAGTAATCGGATATTTTAGAGTTCGACGATATTATTCAACCAAAGCCGTTCCACGATATGGGCAGTCGGGAAGTAACATCCACGAGATCGAATCGGTCACAATCAAAATCAAGAATAGTGTGGCTTAAACAATACAATAATATAGTACGTAAGACACCACACTCTGTGTAGAATTACCAGTGTTGCTATACCACAGAAATACTTACTGACGAAAAAAAACTTACTTCCATATGTACACCAGCATCATTGGTACAAGCAGAATACATGGTTACAGTGTAATTTGTCGATTTAATAACACCAACATCATGCCAAGAATTATCACCTCGACTAATCAATGTACCAGGTGTTGTTGTTACATTCGATGAAGAATTGATCAATGAAGAACAATTCGTAGATGGTGATGCTGATGATGAGGTGATGACCGATTGAGAATTCGTAACTAAACCTGTCGTCGTCGTCATTGAACGAGAAACTTGTCCACCTCCTAATGTTGTAGATAATAATGGAGATAAACGAGATAGTGGGGCGGAAACAGCAACTAAACGAGCTGTATTTGGATTGGAATAAATTGTGGCATGTGATGTGATTGGATCATTTTCTGTTGAAAAATGATGGGAAAAAAATGTATATAGATATATATATATATATATAAATCAGCAAAAATACCATCTACCATGAATACTTTTTTGACAATTGTGAAAATCAATGAATAGAATGCTCATTAATCGATTGAACGCCATGGTACAACATGACCAAGGGAAGCTTACTCACGAGGTCGTATGATTTATTTTGAGTTAGGCTCGTGGAATGATTAATAATACATAGACAGACAGACAGATAGATACAACACAGAACTTCGTACATAAGTACATCAGTTCAGGTTGCCATGCCCCCGTCAGCACAGAGACGTAACTGTCAGTTCAAATCCAAGAGTGATAGCGATAGTAGAAGTATTATTGATAATGGAGAAGATTAGAGAGATGATGAAGTTTCAGCACTTCATCTATTCATCTGCCATTCTTACCTAGTAGTCGTTTCCTAATGATAGCATCGCTTATTCGGTCGTCCCAGGATCCACGAGCAACGCTTCGGATACACCTATTATCGAATACCAATAACTTACAAATGTCCTCTACTCTTAACGGCCATGTTTCGCATCCATATAGGAGAACGGAGCGAACTGCTGCACAGTACACCCGTCCTTTGGTTAGCGAACGGATATCTCGCCTACGCCATAAGTGACACAGGTTGGCAAAAGTCAATCGAGCCTTCTGTATACGAGCTGAGATTTCGACAGTCACCAGGCCATCAGCACTGATGAGACTACCCAGATAAATGAAGCGGTCAACTCGTTCGACAACGTGACTCCCTATCACTAGTTGAGGTGCCGATGCGACGCAGTCTTGAAGCAACATTTTGCATTTTGTCAGCGTCTTCACCGAATAGAACTATGTCATCGGCATATTCTAAGTCGATAAGCGAGCCTCCTGGTAAAAGGACTACTCCTGAAAATGCAGACGAGGATAAGGTTATATCTAGGAGAATGTGAACCGGTGAAACCCAAGTAGCTTTGTGTAAGCGTCTGTGTAGGAGTATGGTGTCGCTAGTCTCTCACCGTTTTCGTCTCTTTCTCCCAGTCAATGTCGTCCCATGATTTCTTCATATCCACTATTCTTCATTCCAACTTTGGCTTTTGGGTCTTTTATCGGAATAATCTTGTCCTTTCGTGAGAATTAGTTTACGATTCACTCAAGTCTCTCATGAAACTGATCTTTATCGTCTTTGTTGTTATCGTTGGTGCGTAAATAACACCGGATGACAGTCATTGTAATCCCCTCTTTCTTTGTCTTGAAAAATGCTTTGATGGTATGGACATTTTTTTCAATGTGTCAGTACGAGATTGGTGTTATATTTTTCAGTGGAACATTACTTCCGGTCAATTTAACCCGCTTCTAAGATTACTAATTCTTTATTGTGTACAAATCCATCTATGCAGAATTTTTTTATCAGTTAGTTAAAAAAAAAAAGTTTTGGCATTATAAATTAACATTTGAACAAGCATCAACACTCACCACGATCATCATTAGTTCCACTTCGACGAGCGGCAACTAAAGCTAATGTTTCTAAAGGATCCGTAAGAGAATTACCATTTGCTTCTTTTTCATCTAAATAAAAATTGAGATTAAAGACGGATTAATTTATATAATATGAAATAATTGTAATCATTATGAAAAAGAAAGAATGGATGTTACAGTGTTACAGCGCAGCATCACTGCGCTGCGCTACGCTAAGTAATGTTATTGTTAGAATATTCACCAAATATCCTAAGAGTACTACTATTTTTGGGAAGTATATATCCTATTGGTCAATTTCTATTGGTCAAAATTGATCCCTAAAGTGTTCTGCGTAGGCGAGATATCCGTTTGCTGACTACAGGACGAGTGTACTGTGCAGTAGTTTGCTCCGTCTAACTTTATGGCTGTGAAACATGACCAGTGAGAGTAGAATATACTCATCGGTTATTGGTTTTCGATCATAGATGTCTTCGAAGAATTGCTCGTATATCCTGGGACACTCGAGTGAGCAACGCTGTTATTAGGAAACGGGTGCTAGGTAAGAATGGCAGATCAATAGATGAAGTATTGAAACTTCATCAGTTGAGGTGGTTAGGGACATGTGTTGCATATGCCTAACCACCGACTACCTCGTCGAGCTTTGTTTTGTGGTGTGGTAGTAGGTTGGAAGAAAGTTAGGGGCGGCCAAACCAAAACATGGCAGAAATCCATGAAGTCGTTGACGAGTGGACTTAGCCATGTTGGTAATTGTCGACTACCTGGTTGGGGTCCGCGAGATGATAATAATCGATGGCTAGAGACCTTGAATGACATCGCTCAAAATCGTTCGCAATGGCGCCAGTGCATTTATTCTTTGTGTTCTCTCAAATCCTAATCTTCTGAGTTCTTCAACACCTCTAGCTTTTACTTTCTAAACTTATCACATTGAATCATACTTCGTGAATAATATCTTGTAATTCTAACCTCTCTGATTACTTCTAATGCCTTTACTACCTCTTCTACTATTGGATTTGAATTGACAATTATATCTCTGTGCTGATGTGGTATGGCGACATGAACTGATGTACTTACGTACGAAGTTCTACGTTGCAACTGACTGACTGACTGATTGGTCAAAATAAATGGTCGTTTTAACTGTCAAAGTCAAATACTTCAATGTTGTCTCTTATTGGTAGTCATTCGGACTGTCAATGTCATTACAAATGTTCTTTCCTATTGGTCGTCGTCTTAAACTGTCAATGTCACAGACTTTGATGCTGTTTCCTATTCGACACACTATCTGTAAGACTCCATGATTCCGATTCCGTTCCTTCCTGCCTACCTCTCTCTTCTGTACTCGACCCAATAAACAACTCCATCCCACGGTGTTGCGTTCTGATCTATATTGGAGATTTGGAAATAGTATTTTGAGTTGTATTGGGATATTTGAATTTGGGACGCCGCTAGGACTGAATAGCTCTATACGTAGCACCGTTATAACAGTTATTATTAGTAGTATTATCAAAATAACAATTCATGATAGGTAGGTAAATAAATAGGCTGATTTTATTCTAAACACTGATCGATGAATTCAATAAAAATTGAAACACTACAATTTATTGAATGAGAAATTGATTCAACCGAAACTAATACTTCTACTACCTCTATACTACTACTATGATGAGATTTGAGAATTGACTAGTTGATTTCTTTGTGGGCATGACAACTTGAACGGATATACACATACGAACCAAGTTCTATGTTGTAGCTGGTTGACTGAATATGAACCGACTGCCTCGTCGAGCTTTGTTTTGTAGTGTACGAATAGGTTGGAAGAAAGTTAGGGGCGGCAGCCAAACCAAAACATGGCACAAATCCATGAAGTCAGTGACTAGTGGACTGAGTCATGTTGGTAGATGTAGACTACCTGGTTGGGGTACGCGAGACAAAAGTCACGAGTGGTTAGAGACCTTGAACAACGACATGGCTCAAAATCGTTTGCAATGGCGCAAGTGCATCCATTCTTTGAGCTCTCTCAAATCCTAATCTTTTGGATTCGTCAACATCTCTACTTTTGTCTTTCTAACCTTATCTCACTGAATTATACTTCTTGAATAATATCTTCAAACCCATAGTCTTCTTCATTACCATTAATACCTCTACTATCTCTATCACTATGAGATTTGATTTGACATTTGCGTCTCTGTGCTAATGTGGTATGGCAACCAGAACTTATGTGCATACGTACGAAGTTCTACGTTACTACAGACTGACTGACTGGCTGAATGTGATAAACAGTTGAAAGTTGTCAATAACAATAATAGGTGCAGGTAGTCGAAAGGAAAATATTGTCAGCAAGGTGCAACTGTAATCTTCAGGGAACTACTAGTGCTCCCAGGAGGATTTGACCAGCTGACTTCATGTTCAGAGATGTTATCATTCAGATATTAATGCCATGACTGGTCTCTTTTAAGATTGATCATTGACCGATATCTTTTTCAGTCTTTTCAGTGCTGATCAAATTGTCTACCGACGATGATGAATACAGTAAAATACAATAAGTTCACTATTCAGATCAAACACAAGTGTTTAAGAGAGAGAGGAAGGGAAATCACTAAACTAACCTTTCACATGTATAGAATCTTCATAAGATCTTGAATCTCCATGGGAATTCTTTTCATGATGATTATTGGATGAAACATTTACGCCTGATACATTAGGCTTGATATCATCATCAACTAAATTTTTAATTGCTTGATCAGTTTCTTTGGAAATGTTTGTTGAATTTTGATTTGAATAACCGGATGTATTATTGTCTTCACCAATATCTGCCAGTAGTTCAGCAGCAGCTTCTGCAGCTAACGAACTATGCAAATCGGCATTTTCATCCTGAATTATCGAAAAACAGTAGTCGGAAAGAAAAAAACAGTATTAATCTACCCATGTATTACAGGCTACATAAAACATCGAACGATGAGAAGTATTCAAGTGAAGTTGACAGATCATCGTGTATGTTGTATAAAAACGAGTAATTTCAACTCAATTGATAAATTTTTTTTAGATAACTTGTTATGCGTTGTTTAAGCTAAGTGAAATGAAACAATCAGTCAGTCAGTCAGTCAGTTGCAACGTAGAACTTCGTACGTATGTACATAAGTTCATGTTGCCATACCACATTATTAGCACAGAGACGCAAATGTCAAATCAAATCCCACGGTGATAAAGATGGTAGAGGTATTAATGTTATAATAAAGAAGACTAGGGTTTAAGATATTATTCAAAAAATATAATTCAGTGAAATAAGGTTAGAAAGATAAAGGTAGAGGTGCTGGCTAATCCAGAAGATTAGGATTTGAGAGAACACAGAGAATAAATGCACTGGCGCCATTGCGAACGATTTTAAGCCATGTCATTCAAGGTCTCTAGCCATCGATTATTATCATCTCGCGGACCCCAACCAGGTAGTCGACAATTACCGACATGGCTAAGTCCACTTGTCAATGACTTCATGGATTTCTGCCATGTTTTGGTTTGGCCGCCCCTAACTTTCTTCCAACCTATTCCCACACTACAAAACAAGGCTCGACGAGGCAGCCGGTGGTTCGGCATACGCAACACATGTCCCAACCACCTCAACTGGTGAAGTTTCAATACTTCATCGATTGATCTGCCATTCTTACCTAGCACCCGTTTCCTAATAACAGCGTTGCTCACTCGGGTGTCCCAGGATATACGAGCAATACTTCGAAGACACCTATGATCGAAAACCAGTAACCTACGAATATCTTCTACTCTCACTGGCCATGTTTCACAGCCATAAAGTAAGACGGAGCGAACTACTGCGCAGTACACTCGTCCTTTAGTCAGCAAACGGATATCTCGCCTACGCCATAAGTGACGCAGGTTGGCAAAAGCCAATCGAGCCTTCTGTATCCGAGCTGAGATTTCGTCAGTCACCAGGCCATCGGCACTGATGAGACTCCCAATATAAGTGAAGCGGTCTACACGTTCGACTACTTCACTCCCTATCACTAGTTCAGGTGCCAATGCAACCCAGTCTTGAAGCAACATTTTGCATTTCGAGGGGGAAAACCGCATCCCGAACATGCTTGCATTGTTGCTTAGGGTAGTCAGAAGACTCTGCATTTTGTCAGCGTCTTCACCAAGTAGGACAATGTCATCGGCATATTCTAAATCAATAAGCGAAATGAAACAATGTCATTAGGTGAATAGTATTGGAGTCTATGAAGTCAAATTGGAAATATTACAAACACACTGCTCATGACATTTTAGTTCTTAACATTTATTTTTCAATATTCTCAAGTGTATCACCACTCCCGACCGTAGCTGCTACCTTGACGTGGTGGTCGGGCTTGCCAATCGTCATGACCCAATCGAGCTATATTGGCTGGAACATACATATGTTCCTGAAGGTTCTACCATGCCAGGAAGGTCGATCGGAGAACGATGAGACTAAAAGCATGTCCATGAAGTCATTGACAAGTGGACTGAGTCATGTCGGTAGTTATCGACTACCTAGTTGGGGTCCGCGAGATAATAACAATCAATGGTTATAGACCTTGAATGACATGGCAGCTGCATTCATCCTTTGTGTTCTCTCAAATCGTAATCTTCTGGATTCTTCAACACCTCTAGTTTTGTCTTCCTAAACTTATCTCACTGAATCGTACTTCTTGAATCAATATCTTCTAATCCTAACCTCTCCGATTACTTCTAATACCCTTACTAACTCTTCTACTATTAGATTTGAATTGACAATTACATCTGTGTGTGCTAATGTGGTATGGCAACATGAACTGATGTACGTACGTACGAAGTGCTACGTTGCATCTGACTGACTGACTGAAGTATCAACAATCCAAGAGTTAAAATATATTCCACTGGTGTGTGCACAAATAAAAGTTTATTTTCACTTTAATCAATATATATATATATATATATATATATATATATATATATATATATACTTATTTATCGATTGTGAAATAATTTGACTGTTTCTCAATGAATAAGGCCTGCATTCACTTACTGTATACAGTGCAACTCAATCTCCACATTGCCTTGCTCATTAAGAGCCAAAGTAGTAGAAAATAAAGCTTACTACTGTGTGATAATGCGCTTGTTATGTTAAGACTGAGATAGAGTTTTTAAGGAGGAGGAGGGAAAATATTAGTAAGCTATCTGTATTCAATTATTTGCAGCATCTGGATGAGACCAGTGCTGAATAAGTTAGGTTAACGTTAGATGTTCAGTAGTAGGCCAAAACAAAACATGGTAGAAATCATGAAGTCACTAACAACTGGATTGAGTCATGTTGGACAAACAGACAGACAGATACAACGCAGAACTTCATACATAATTACATCAGTTCAGGTTGCCATACCACATCAACACAGAGACACAACTGTCAGTTCAAATCCAAGGATGATAGCGATAGTAGAAGTATTAGCAGTAATGGAGAAAATTAGGAAGCGAAGATATTATTCGAGAAGTATAATTCAGTGAGATAAATTTGTAAAGAGAAAGATAGAGATGATGAGGAATTCAGAAGGTTAGAATTAGAGAGAACACAAAGAGTGGATGCATCTGCGCCATGTCAAACGACTCTGAGCCATGTCGTTCAAGGTCTCTAACCATTGATGACTTTCGTCTCGCGGACCCCAACCCGGTAGAGCCTACATCTACCAACATGACTCAATCCACTTGTCAGTGACTTCATGGATTTCTGCTATGTTTTGGTTTGGCCGCCCCTAGCTTTCTTCCAACCTACTCCTACACCACAAAACATAGCTCGGCAGTTGCTGGTTAGGCATACTTAACACATGTCCCAAACACCTCAACTGATGAAGTTGTCTCATGATACACGAGCAATGCTTCGGAGACATCGAGTCATGTTGGTAACAGTAGATTGCCTGGTTAGGGCCCACGAGTCGATAGTAACCGATCATTGAAGACCTTGAATGACATGGCTCAAAATCGTTTGCAATGGCGCGGGCTCATTCACTCACTTTGTGTTCTATAAAATTCTAATCTTCTGAATTCTTCACCACCTTTATCTCTTTCTAAATGGATTTTACTGAATTATACTTCTCGAAACATATCTTCGAATTCTAAAATTCTCCATTACCATTAATACTTCTACCATATCGACCAACGGTCATGAGAAATTCAGAAGATTAGAATTTGAAAGAAGACAAAGAATGGATGTGCACCTGCTACGCTATTGCAAACGATTTTCAGCCATGTCATTCAAAGTCTCTAACCATCGGTTACTATCATCTCGCGGGCCCCAACACGGCAGTAGTCTACACCTGAACGTAATAACATGGGGCTCAGTCCACCAAAACTGAGCACAATCAAATCTTTCCTATATCCCACATTTGTCAGTGACTTCATGGGTTTATGCCATTGTGTAGTTTAGCCACCTCTCAGCTGCAGTTCTAAGCTACTATGTTAAGCTGTTCAACTAAACAGACTAAATTTGCCCTCCACCGCTATAATGCAGTTACACACACACAAAAAAACCCAACTAAATATCAACAATACCTAGAAATTCACTGATGACAATGATCAAATACGATATATAACTATAATCATCACGAAATATCGCAATCAACAACCTTAGTATAGTATAGTATATGTTAGTGGGACATAGATGGAATTAAAGCATGACTACGTTGCTACGCGCTGATTGGCTAATTTCCTATCCAATCAGCGCCTGGCCGAAGCTTGGAGAACAGGATAGAAAATTCTCGTATTATTAGCTGCATGCTGATTGGTCAAATCCAGTCCAGTCGATCACGTGAATTTTCTTCCAGAAGCTTTCTCATGTAAAGGCTATAAATAGACTAGCATTGTATTTATCTTTGCCTTCTTTGCCTTGGCTTTCGCCATCACCTCCGGCTTCTTATTCCTTGCTATTTTGGAATATAATCATTCCTGTTCAACCGTGTTTTGACTTTGGGGGACTTGTGCAGTGTTTTGTGTCAAAGAATACTAAGCAATAAGATTTAGCCGGGAATTAACTAAGCAAGCGTTACAACAGCATAGTATAGTATAAGTATAGTATTCTTAGGTGAAAAGCACACTTACTGTTGTTGTTGTTGTTGTTGTATAAGTTGGCGAATGTTGACTGTCACTATCCCCATGTCCTTTTAACTTCTTCTCTTCGACTAAATTCGACTCTGGAATTGTAGTGGATGTTGTATCATTCTCAGTGGTAACACCATCACCCTCATCATCAACAACAGCATCATCATCATCACCATCGCCTTCATCATTATCAACTGTACCGTCCAATTGTGGAATAGTTTGAAGAATTGATGGTGTTGTATGAGTATTAGTATTATTACTACTAGGATCGTTCGCATTACCACCAACACCGCCAACACCATGTGTTGTGTCATATGGATCTCGTCGAACTAAGGTCACTTGTGGTTGATTTGCTTGTCTTATTATTTGACCAGTGGTGGTACCACCTCCGGAAGATAAATACAAATTCGATGATGCTGGTATGGTACCTGTGGAAGATACTGAAATGAAAATAAAATAAAGTTTAATGTTTTAAATAACACATTGACTAGTACTTCGGATGTATATCAGCGGAGGTAAAAGAGTAGACAGTTCATCTTAGTCAGAAAATCCATTTGATAGCTGTTACGCCTGCACGTAAACACGTCATTTTCGATATGCTTGAACTATTACGAGTTTACCTAGTCGGAAAACGAGAGCGAGGATCGAGGATCCGGCTACACGACATGCTACTCAAATTTGATTATTACAACCCCATATTGAGTAAAATAAGAAGACATGATACGAAGTAGAACCTGTATTCTACAACCATCCAGAAAGTACGAGGTCCGAGTCCAGAAGAGAATCAGGATGCATCAAAGTCTGTGACATTGACAATTAAGACGACCAATAGAAAGCAACATTTGAAATGACAGTGATAGTCAGGACAACCAATAAGAAACAACATTGGAGCACATGACATTGATATCTAGGACGACCATAAAATTGACCAATAGGAATTGACCAATAATTAGATGAATATCCTAACAATAGCATACACTCTATTAATGATGACAATGGTAGTGAATGAAAATGGCTCAATTTGTGAACATCTGTCATTGGAATTCTTTACTTCAAGTGGTGTCCTTCAGGGATGTCCACTTTCTCCATTCTTGTTTAACTTTGTTGTAGATATGCTTTAAGTGTTAACATTATCCTCGTCAGATTTTTTAGGAGTGGACCTTCGTACCAGGAGGATCGCTTACTGACCTAGAATATGACGATGACACAGCTCTATTTGGTGAAGACGCTGACAAAATAGTCTTCTGACTATTCTACGCAACAATGCAAGCATGTTCGGGATGCACTTCTTACCCTCGAAATGCAAAATGTTGCTTCAAGATTGGGTTGCATCGGCACCTGAACTAGTGATAGGGAGTGAAGTAGTCGAACGTGTAGACCGCTTCATTTATCTGGGGAGTCTGACCAGTGCTGATGGCCTGGTGACTGACGAAATCCCAGCACGGATACAGAAAGCTTGATAGGCTTTTGCCAACCTGCGTTACTTATGGCGTAGGCGAGATATCCGTTTGCTGACTAAAGGACGAGTGTACTGTGCAGTGGTTCGCTCCGTCTTACTTTATGGCTGTGAAACATGGCCAGTGAGAGTAGAAGATATTCGTCGGTTATTGATTTCCGATCATCGATGTCTCCGAAGCATCGCTCGAATATTCTGGGACAACCGTATAAGACATGCTGTCGTTAGAAAACGAGTTCTAAGTAAGAATGGCAAATCAGTAGGTGAAGCACCGAAACTTTATCCGTTGAGGTTTTTGGGACATGTGTTACGAACGCCTAACCACCGACTGTCTTGTCGAGCTATGTTTTGTGGTGTGGGAGTAGGTTAGAAGAAAGTTAGGGGCGGCCAGACCAAGACATTCAAGAAGTCCATGAAGTCACTGACAAGTGGAATGAGTCATGTTGGTAGATTGTAGGCTATCTGGTTGGGGTCCGCGATACGAAAATCACCTCTGGTTAGAGACCTTGAATGACATGGCTCAAAACCACTTGCAATGGCGCAAGCGCATCCATTCATTGTGTTCTCTCAAATCCTAATCTTCTGGATTCATCAGCACCTCTACCTTTGTCTTTCGAAACTTATCTCACTGAATTATACTTCTTGAATATTATCTTCAAATCCTAATCTTCTCTATTAGCAGTAATTTTTTCTACTATCTCTACCACTATGAGATTTGAATTGACAATCGCGTCTCTGTTCTAATGTGGTGTGGCAACATGAACTGATGTACTTACGTACGAAGTTCTACGTTACAATTGACTGAATTTATGAACACAGGAATCTCTAAAACATTTGATTTGAACTTTATAACTAGAATCGCAAACTGAAAACAACCGGCAATGAAGTGCATAAGAGTGAAATACTGAAACAAGACAAATCTACACACCACTACTCTTTATACGCACAATAAAAAAAGATAGTACATTGGATTGCACTCAGACATTAATAAGATAAAAATGTACAACGTTTCTTAAGTAGATGAAAGGCAAAATATTTTCCAATGTGTATGGGAATCTAACACACAGGACAATTACATTCCCTTATAACATAAAAAAAATATATATGTTGATTATCACACCGAAAAAAACAATTCATAACATTCTTACTTGTTGGACTCATGATAACTATTTGTTGTCCAGCTGGCCTATGTACAGAACCAGATACTTGAACCGTTGTCTGACCTGGACGGCATACACTACCACCGGCGATTAAAATAGGCTTACCAGATGCAGACATTTGAAGCATTGTGGCCGGTATTGCCTTGATTACTTTGGGTACTGTAATAATGAAAACGAAAAAAACAAGTAAATTAAATAGGATATGTCATTGTTACGCCTGCACGTAAACACGTCAACTTGATATACTTGAATTAATACGAGTTTACCTTAGAGTCGGAAAACGAGAGCGAGGATCGAGGATCCGGTGACATGATATGCTACTCGAATCCGATTATCTCAACTTCCATATTCAGTGAAAATGAGAAGACATGATATGAAGTAGAATCTGTATTCTACACGCATTCAGAAAGTACGAGGTCCGAATCCAGAAGGGAAACAGGATCCAGGACTAGGGATCCGGGACCGGGTCCTGGTTGTGGTCATAAAACGTTACAAATAATGCGTATTTATACATTTTGGTCGAATAGGAACCAGCAACGAAGTCTGTGACATTGACGGTTAAGACGACCAATAGGAAGCAACATTTGAAGGGACATTGATAGTCATGACAACCAATAAGAAACAACATTAGAGCACGTGACATTGATATCTACCAGGACGACCATAAAATTAACCAATAGGAATAGACCAATAATTCTCTTAGGATATTGGATGAATATCTTAACAGTCATCACAAATGCGGTAAAACTTAGAGTAAGGCTTTAATGATTTTGATTGAAATAAAAGAGAGAGAGCATTGAGACAGATGTTGTAGAAACCAGTGAATTTAAATTCTTTGATAAAACCTGAACACACTGAATAATATGCAATAGTGATTCTTCAGTTGGTTAATTTCCAACTTAAACGTTCAAAATAATTTAAACGAATAAACTTTTGTTTTCAAATGATAGGCCAACAGTCAGTCAGTCAGTCAGTTGCAACGTACAACTTCGTACTATGTATATACATAAGTTCAGGTCCGAAAGCTTTCTGTAAAAATCATCTTTTACATCGCGTCTGAACTGAAGTCAGTGGGGGCGTAGGCTGATATGACGAAGAAGCAACAACGGGTGTCCCTATCCTTCCGAATCCTTACTGTCTCGTTTAGTCGGACGGCACACAAACGACTATCTACAGGGATCCAATTCTAGGAGAGCTAGTTCTGCCCTACGATTCAATGCTATACCTACACCAGCGAGACCCCTCGAAGCAGCATCGGGGCTTCTAGATACACGAAGAGTAAATCGGTCTGCTTCTTTGTTTTCATAACTTTACTAGGATCCTGTATGCGCCAACAGTGGGACAGAAATTCGGAAAAAAAATCAAAATTTATGTATTATGTTTAAGTAATAAGTAAGTCAGTACGTACGTACGTACGTAGGTCAGTTCAAGTTTGCCATACCGCATTAGCACAGAGACGCCACTGTCAGTTCAAATCCTATAGTGGTGGAGATAAAAGAAGAATTACTCGTAATGGAGAATATTAGGGATCGAAGATATGATTTAAGAAGTATAGTTCAGTGAGATAATTTTAGAATAAAAGAAAGATAGAGATGATGAGGAATTCTGACGATAAGAATTCCGGCGGTCGGAGCTTTAAAAAAGAACAAAGCTAACACCAAATTTTTTTCTAAAAAGTAAAAAAAACTTTACTGACCACCTGAACCGCCAGTAGTTGCTCCAACTGACGTTTGTTGTACAGTAATCGTTTTAGAAGCTGTTGACGATGGAGTTGTAGTAGAAACTAGTTTAATTGGTTTAATTAAACCAGTTGATTTGTTTACAATGTGTACTACTTGACTTGGATTAGAAGTAACTACACCACCACCGGAGGAATTATTTGCAACAGAAACTGCAGAAACCATTTGTTTGCCACCAACAGTAATCAGCTATGTAAAAGAGGAAAAAAAGGATGAATTCATGTTAATACGGGAGAAAACTGAAGAAAGTAGCACGTGTTAATCTGAAACTGATCAATCAATTGAGGTGTCATGTAAACCATTAACTCATAATAAATTATCCTATCTCCTACAATCAGTCAGCCAGTAGTCGGCCAGACCAAAACATGGCAGAAATCCATGAAGTCATTGACGAGTGGACTTAGCCATGTCGGTAATTGTCGACTACCTGGTTGGGGTCCGCGAGATGATAATAATCGATGGTTAGAGACCTTGAATGACATGGCTCAAAATCGTTCGCAATGGCGCAGGTGCATTTATTCTTTGTGTTCTCTCAAATCGTAATCTTCTGGATTCTTCAACACCTCTACTTTTGACTTTCTAAACTTTTCTCACTGAATCATACTTCTTGAATATAATATCTTCAAATCCTAATCTCTCCGACTACTTCTAATACCTTTACTACGTCTACTACTATTAGATTTGAATTGACAATTACATCTCTGTGCTGATGTGGTATGGTAACATGAACTGATGTACTTACGTACCAAGTTCTACGTTGCATCTGACTGACTGACTGACAGCCATTAGTCAGTTACAACGTGGAACTTCGTACTTACGTACATTAGTTCAAGCTGCTATACAACATTAGCACAGAGATGCAATTGTCACTTCAAATCCCATAGTAGTAGAGGTAATAGAAGTATTAGCAGTAATCCGAGAGATTGATGTTCGAAGATAATATCCAAGAAGTGAAATTTAGTGAAATCAATTTAGAACGAGAAAGATGATGACGAATTCAGAAGATTGGAATTTGAGAAAACACAAAGAATGGATACACCTGCGCCATGGCAAACGATTTTGAACCATGTTATTTAAAGTCTCTAACTATTGTTTACTAGACCCCAACCCGGTTGTCTACACTTACTAATATGGCTTAGTCCACTAGTCAGTGATTTCATAGATATGAGTAATCTTTTGGTCTGGCCGCTCCTAGCTTTCTTCCAGACAATCCCTAATCAGGCAACACTTGTCAAGGTAGTCGGTGGTAGGGTATAACGTAACACACGCCCCAACACAAAAAAATCAAGGTAAACACAACCTTAATAAAATTATGCTAACTTATATCTAATGTTTATGCAGACTGAAATGGATGTAAACCCGGTGTTTAAAAAATGATAAATTTTCAGGACAAGTGGTGTGTAGGTTGTCTGGTGGATACCTAACTATTTTAAGCTGATATAGCTCAACCTGACACGAATTGAAACTTCATAAAAACGCCTGTACGTCCACATTCTTACACATTAGCTAAGCATAACAAGAATTTTGCCATCTGTGATGTAAGACTGACTTTCACATGATCGTTTGACTTATTAAGATATTAAGGGAGTCTCTCCAAACAAAGGTGTTACCATTTACAGTCTCAGAGTAGACTTGACATGTATATATCACTGCACCAGCAAATTTATGCAAAAAAGGTTTGTATGGGTGTCCAGAATGAACTCAAAAATACTAGTTTAAAAAAACTAGTGGGTGGACAAAATGACCCACTAGAAATTATTCCCAACGATAGGAACACCGAATGGACAGTAACTCATATACTTGCAGCTATGACAAGTTCACCTTACTCACTAAACGGAACGAAGATCAATGATTCAGTGATACGATAGGCTACTCTAATCCGATCGTCCCAGGCCCTAGTAACTAGAGGAAGAAGTCTTGATAAGATGTAGGGAAATGTATTCCATAGGCACCCAAAAAGTACCAAGTCGACAAGCACAAAACTCAAGCTTATTTATACAATGATAAATTGCCCTTGGTGAGAGTCACAAAATGGCGTACTAAAACAATCTATCAACCAATGACAGTCAAGGATTTCCCGAGTAGAAGATGCAGGCTGAAGGTCAAAGTAAGCGTCTCTGGCGCGAAAACATGAAATTCAACATTTCAAAATAAAATTACAAAATGATGACCTTTTCCAAGGGAACTCTGGGGATCTAACATGCCCAACAATAACACAGTTGAATCCTTGGATTTGCTCAAAGATAAACATGAATGGTTCTTGTTTTAGTTATCATGTTACTTTGTTGTAACAGTGTAGTGTGATTGTTGATTAGCCTTTGCTCTCAGTCTTTTGTACTATGACGGATATTTGTTGTAGGTTGGGTGAAAGTGCCATATTTGAAAGTTTTTATTAAATTACCTACAATCAGTCAGTCAACTGCAACGTAAGAATTTCGTACGTATGTACATAAGTTCATGATGACATACCACATGAGCACAGAGACGCAAATGTCAAATCAAATCCCATAGTGATAAAGATAGTAGGGGTATTAATGGTTATGAAGAAGACTAGAGTTTGAAGATATCATTCAAGAAGTATAATTCAGTGAGATAAGGTTACAAAGACAAAGGTAGAAGTGCTGACGAATCCAGAAGATTAGGATTTGAGAGAGCACAATGAATGGATACACTTTCGCCATTGCAAACGATTTTGAGCCATGTCGTTGTTCAAGGTCTCTAACCATCGGTGACTTTCGTCTCGCGGACCCTAACCAGGTAGTCTACACCTACCAACATGACTCAGTCCACTTGTCAAAGACTTCATAGATTTCTGCCACGTTTTGGTTTGGCCGCCCCTATGATCGAATACTATTAACCTACGAACATATCATACTCTTAACGGCCATGTTTCGCATCCATATAGTAAAACGGAGCGAACTGCTGCGCAGTACACTCGTCCTTTAGTTAGCGAACGGATATCACGCCTACGCCATAAGCGACGCAGGTTGGCAAAAGCAAATCTAGCCTTCTGTATCCTACAATCACAGTCGTATCTGCGATACTGCATTTTCGGTAGGTAGGCAAGTAGTCTTTAAAATGAATTCACATTTTTATTCTGAAGCTTTCTGTTTTGCCTTCAGTTGGGTCTCAACATTATCGATGTATTCAATATTCCCAGAATATTTATAACATTCCCTATGGTAAAATGAATCGAGAATTCATCAAATTGGCATTTAATAGATTTTAAAACCATTTTTCCACAGAATACTAGGAAAGGCAATCCAAATAATAAATTAAAAAAAACGTACATGTTGCTTTGGAGCAATTGGAGGACATGAACTTCGAATAATCGTTGGACCACATGGATTAACTCCAGTAGGATGTTGTGCTACAGTTGCAATAGCTGCTGTTCGTCCAGTAACTGCACTACCTGGTACAGGTGTAATTTTTAAACCTGTCGGTGTAACTACAGTCGGTCCTCTGTGACCAGGCATAGTAACGCATGAGTTTGATAACACTGAACCAACAGCGGCAGCGGCAGCAGCAGCAACAGTAGTAGTAGGTAATCGAATAGGCGCTGGTATTGGAACAGAATTAGCTGTAGCTGGAGTGGTAATGAGAGGCTAGATAATGAATAAAATTAAACATTTATTAATGTTGCATAAATTTCCACTAAAAACCAGGGATTAAATATGAACATTTTGACAAATGGAACTTACTTGTGAAATAGTACCAGCTCTGGAAAAATTCAATGAACCAGCAGATACAGTGATTGGAGCTTTAACAATTCCACTTGTATCTACTGGTGAAGATGTTAAGGAATGTGTTGTTGAAGTTGTAGAAGGAGAAACATCATATTTTTGAATTTGTAAAATATAAGCATCTGCAGTAGGAACTGAACCCCATGTGACTTCAAGACTTTGTGTACCAGCACGTACTAATTGAACTCGTGTCGGAGCCGCAGGACGATCAGTTTCCAGAAACCATAAATCTTTAAAACAAACCTATAAAGACGAAAAACACACCTTGTAGTATGATGATATATGCTAGGAAAAACAATTAAAACACAGTTGTATCATAGATATTCAGCTTACTTGATTATTCCATGCTTTTCTATAACCATCACGACCGGACCAAATGTATAAACGACTATGAACAGCTACAGCACAATGTCCAGCACGAGCTCGAGGCAGTAGGCATTCATCAGTAACTTCCATTGTTAATGGTTCCCATGCCATTGTGTCAAGATTAAGACTAGCTAAAGTATTTGTACATTTCCATTCTTTTTCCTGGGCTGTCATTTTAATTTCTTCCATGACCAATGGAACCCATCCACCGAAGACAAACATGCTAGTTAATAAATTTAGTGTTAAATTAAAGCGATGAGTACAACATATGGAAGTGTACATATAGAAAATCAATTGATTAACAGAAATATTTTTACAAAAAAAATTCAACCAAGTGCAGAGAAAAAAAACACTAATCGAAATTGATTTTTTTAAAGGAGGATGTTATTAAATAGCAGCCAACTACATCAAACCAGTGACGTACTTATTTTTTGCCCAAGGTTGTTTGTTTGCTGAGAAATACAGAACAATAAAATACAACAGCACAGCTAAAAGCAAAATGTCTCAATAACTGGTGTTATGAATGCTTGGACAGATGCAACAGTTTCAGCTAATATATATATGGATAAGTAGTGGATTTAGGAGTAGTATTGTAGTGCGCGCTACTTATAAGTAGTATATGACGTGAGTGTCAACGTAATGTCTGACAGCAGAAGATGGAGGGGAAGATCAAGAAAGTAAGAAGGGTGGGAACACAATGGAATTTGTATGAAATGCATGAACAGAGTGAAATGTCAGACAATGGAGATGATGAATTGGATTGAAGATTTGCATT